CGGGCGCAACACCGAGTGAGCGAGGTGCGGGCGCAACACCGAGGGTTGCGATCCCGTTGCCGGTCCCAGTCCGGTACGGGCGTGACACTGAGGGTTGCGATCCGTTGCCGGTCACGAAAAAAGACAAAAAGGAAAAAAAAAAACCACAAAATTGAAATAAATGCAGTTTCTTAATATGGTTTTAAAAAAAACAACCTGTCAAATCAACAGGCAATGATGCCTTTAACAGTGAGACACCTCTTGAGGCATTCTCACTGAAATGAGCTAAACAAGGATCATCATTATTTAACACTGGTCCAAAAATTCTCATTGGTGTAGTGAGGCATGAAGCAAGACTAATAGTTATAGCTACTAAAAAGGAGACAATATTATTATTGCAGATGATTAAGGCTATGTACCAAAATGAATACAGAAAATATTAAAAACTTCAGTAAGCAGCTGGATAAAAGATAAATATCCACAACTCAAAAGCTGTTCTGTATAGGAGTAATAAGCAAACAGAAGATAACAGAAAAAAATTCCACTCACAATAGCAGCAAACAAATAAAATCCACAATAAAATATTTAACCTAAAAAAATACAATATACATGAAGAAACTGTAAAATTTTACTGAGACATGAAAGAGATGTTACCATGTTCCTTGACAGTGGCTTAATTTTATAAGGAAGTTAACTTAATAAAATTTGGCATAACCTATGATGAAACATTGGTCATTAAAAAATCATGTTTTTAAATAATTCTAAGTGACATGGGAAAACATCACAATATAATGTGAAATAACAATGAAGGATAAAAACTATATACAAGGATTCCAATTATGTAAAAAAAATAAATAAAAGATTGCAAGGAAACACATCAAAATGTTAACCACAGTGATGATCTCTAGATTGCAGGAGAATAATTTTAATTTGGTACTTTAAACTTTTCTTAATTTATAAATTGCATAAAGATGTACTACTTGTATAATCAGAAAAAAATTATTTAAAAAGCACTTAATACAAACAATACATATTTACCACTATAATCAGGCCTACCTGACAAACCCAAGGTGGTCCTCCTGCAACATACTGTGTGCTTTAAAAGTTTATGTATGAAGCCCAAGGATCAAGATAAAATCTGGTTTCAGTGCAAATGCTACTAAATGGGCAGAAATAATGAAGAATTTTATTCAGCTGGTCACTTAACTATTTTCTCCCTATGATCCAGTAACTTGAACTCTGGACATAGCAACACATGGCTAATTTCTATGCAGGAGAGGCTAATGTATGGTAAAACTAATGCCATACATTAGGTACTCACAAGAGAAAAGGCACATCCGCTCAGTTTAACTTTCCAGCTTTGGATCAAATACTTATTCACACCCAGAACAGGACATTTCAGTATCTTATTTCAGCAGCAATGTCAGTTGCTGCAGAACTGCCTTTGCTCTAACTTTGCTTTTTCAGTGTTGTTTTACCTTCTTCTTTTTAAGCACAATAAGACATAGATGTTAAGTTACTTTCTTTCTTGAATACCTGCAGCTGGGTTTACTTAGTCTTTCAGGATCAGCCCCTAAGACTTCCAAAATCCATGACCAAAGAAAAATCCAAGCCAGAAAGAGCCTACCTAAACCATTCAACACAAATTAATTGTGCCAAGGGCAGGGACAGTGTCTAAACAAAATTATGTATAATCCATAACCCCAAGCTAATAGCCAAGCCCCACTCATCCAAGGATTCAACGAAGAGATAAGGCAACCATTTGATTTAGATTCATGTGGTCAGATACTCTTTTCCATAGCAACCACACAATAGTCATGGTAGTAGTCAAGTGCCATTTTCTCCTCCCCATAACACAGTACCATTAGATGATAAACAAAGAACAGCTTGCACAGAAAGTCTATGATGATTTGCTTCAAACAGATAAAAGCTAGAGAACAGAAACTGTGAAAAGGAAGAACATGTTCCCTCTGATAAATGGATGCCTTGAAGGGATGGGGCTTAAATAAAAGATCAAAATTATTTTGAAAAAGAAAAGGAATGCCTGGACAAGCAATTTAAGGGACTCTGTAGCCTCCCCAAATAATATAACAAATAAAAGAAGACATTATGATTTAACATACAAAAATAAAAAGAGGAAGGAAAAAAAAGCTTAAAGCATAACAGCCGTTGAAAAAACAACAAAAAACCACCCATAACCCTTACGTGCTTCACACATTTTACTAGCCTTTCCCATAATAATTATCAATTCTACAGCAATGATTTAACTGATAGCAATAATAATGATAGCTCAAATAAATTCCACATTAGAAAAGCATATCGTATTTTCAATTTTTATCAAGATTCTTACTAGCCACCTGTTTTTTTTCTTAGGCTTAGCTGAAATGTTTTTGGGAGACAATACTAATTTGTATAGCTGCCTTAAGAAAACGAAGACTATAGGATAAGACAGTAAAATTAAAGTTGTGCCCAAAAAGATGTCTTAAATATAGATAGTATTCAAGTCAATATTTGTTAAATGAAAATCAACACCATTCAGAAAGATACTCACTGTTTGAAGGTATGTCAATCAAAAGAGTTTCTTCTGCTTCTGATAGGGGAAAAAAAAGAGAATAGGATCAGGGAAGAGAAAACCATTCATTACAACCAAAAGAAGTATATGCCTAAGTAAATAATTACTTCTCTCAGTCATTACTCCTAGGTCTTAGAACATGTTAAAAAAAAATCCTTTGCTTTTTTTTGTTCAGCATTTTTACAAAAAGGATTTTAATAGCACTAGGTTCTAGAGACCATAAGCAATTCAACTAAAAAAAAAAAAATGAACTGAACAAGTAACCAAATGGAACTCCTCAAAACAAATCAAGGAACAACAAATTAATAGTAGGGAACATAACATGTTAGTTCAAGTGAAGGCAAGTTTAATCTCCTTCAACTATAACATACTGATTTAACATAATCTAACTGTGTCCTTTAGATATTTCTTATAGAAAGCCAAGGAAGTGACCCTGAATTTTTAGTCTCTGAAAATTACCCAGTGATCTTATTACCTCTGCCCCTTATAGAAGCACAATATAGCTGAAGTTCCTTGCTTTCAGGCTACAATTAATACTTGCGGGCCCAAGGCCTACCATCCCCAACAAGAAGCACAAAGTAGTACAAAGCAGTCTGCAAGTTCAGAGTTTTCTTTTCTCTCGATGGCTCTCCTGGACTTACTTCCTTACCTCTAGTGTCTGGACCCAACCTATCTCTTCCTCTCCGGATTTGACAAACAGCACCTGCCAGACCTTCCTTGCTAACCGAGCTCTGGGTACTGACTTCTTGGAATTAGCCTGGATCTACCTTGGTCAGATGGAGTAGTCTCAGCCTTTTCTAGCTCCCTCATAAGACCGAATTGTATATTTGGCTCCATTATTCAGGTACAAAAGAAGCAACTGGTAAGAAGCTAAGTTGTCTAATATTAGAAAGTAGTCTCAATACTATAACTAGCATGATGAAGCAAGGGAAAATAGGGCACCAGGACACAGATATTATATGTTTGCCACTGTTCTTCAGTAACTTTTAATTCTGTAAAACCTGCAAAACTTTTAATTTACAGACGGTTTTCAAAATACAGGTATAGGTCGGGAAATAGAAGGTGAAAACTCAAGGACATACTGTTTTCTAATCATGGGGGACTATGGTACGTGCGTGCACATATTTTCCCAGATTCCACGAAACAGCACTACAATCTAACAATTGGCTGTCTTCTTATTAAAAACAATACTAAGAGAAACAGGGTAAAAGAGACTCCAGAAGTAGTACAAAAAGGTTCAAAGCAAATAAGATACTAATCTAAATTCATGTTCTTCAGCTTTTCTCCTCCATATAGGGGCTACACCTTAAAAAGTGAGGTGACCACAACAACTTACTATAGCATGCAGGTGCCTTGTTTAATAAGTCTCTCTCACACAGGGCAGGCTACATTGTACATTCTATACAATGTAGACACTTTCACTGAAGGTATTTTAAATTCTTAATATATGCTGTCTTAAAAAGTCATACCCACTTAGTATTTTCACTTACAGAATAATTCCTGAGGAAATAAGATTTACGTACAGAGATGTTCGTCACATTACTATTTATACTAGTGAAAAATAACCCAAATGTCAAACGCGAGGGAATAATTACATTATGAACCATTCATAAAAATGGAATAGTACATAGCCATTAATTCCATGGAAAAGTGCTCACATATCATGGCATGTGGAACCTACAAAAAAATTGCATAGGATGAGTCCTACCCACCCTAAAAGTTATATGTGAAGAAAAAAGGAAAATGCTTGGTGTTTATCTCTGAAGGATAGGAATTTAGGTGACTTATTTTCTTTATGCTTTTCTGTTCTTTTCAAACTTTTTACAGTATGTATATATATTACTTTTGCAATCAAAAAAGTTCAATACAGTTTAAGAAAGAATCTGTGCAAGGTAGGATTCAAGTTTTCCAAAAAGCTACAACTGATACAGAATGCTTCTGCCTGACTAAACCACTGGACCAGCTGGAAACATAATGCATTTGTTCTCTAGTAATCAATTTCCTTTCTAGAGCAATGTGAGATGACAGAAGCAACACCTCCTACACAAACCTCCCAATTTTTGAGTTTCATTGTAGCAGATGAAACAACAGATTTTCTGTGCTCAGTCCCCAAATTTGAGAGCAGGAAGCCAAATATTTCCTCCCCAGAGTTGATTTCCTTATGACTCACTGTAAAGGTATGAGTATCAGCACAATTGAGTGTAAGGTATTACAGTCTGGCACAGTGTGTTGCCAAATGTCTTCATTTCAAATAGTGTTGGGAGAAAGTGCTGAATGTGTGTGAATCCAAGCGACCTTGATACTTACAATGAGCAGTGTGTCAGTTAAACCCAAGAATGTCATTTAAATCCACATACAGGTCAGTCAGCATAAAAGACTACCTACACGTAATAGACTGCATACGTCTAAGCCTCGCCAGGGAAACAGGTGAGACCCCCCCCACACACACGCACGAGAGGGTACTTCAAAAAGTTCATGGAAAAATAGAATACACAAACTTTTTGAAGACCCTCCGTGTGTGTGTGTGTGTGTGTGTGTGTGTATGTGATATTTCAATACAACCCTTCAGCACTCTTAGGCAAAGCATTTATCATTTTCTCAATAGTGGATTAGTAATGTTATCTTTTTATGCAAAGAGCAATACATCTCATCTTACATGCAGTGGCAAATTTAAAAATGTATAGTATTACACAATGCAATAATGACCAAGGAAAAACACTATAAAACCAGCAAAACAATTAAAGCTAGTACCTTGTATACATCTGAAGTGGCTATTTATAGGAATGATATCTTGAACACGCTGTTCCTTCTTGTGCAACTGGATTATTAACCTAGGAAACAGAAGAATGCATCAATTAATAGCTACTGAAAAACTCAAACGTTTAGCAACAAAATACTTTGCTGTTTTAATGCACAAATCTACTCTCTATTTATTAGACTTGCTGCGTATAATTCCCTGGATCTAAGCAGCATGACAGCTAGATATTGCTCTAGGTCTAAAAGGATATTAGTAGTGATCAATATCTGAATCCCCACGCTGTCCTATATGCCAAGAAGAACGTATAATAATCTATATCCCAAAGGCAATTTACAATCTTAAGAGCATAAATTACAGAGTATACATCTGCAGAGTGTGCATACCAGAGTGAAGAACAGCTAGATGTGAACTCCATGAGTGCAGGGACTAACTATGGCTGTCTTTCCACTATAGTATTTCTAGGACCTAACACAGAGCCCAGCACATAGCAGTTGCTCATGTGTGTTGAATCAATGAATTAGAAAATCCATAAATTAGCTTTCCAATTGTATTCCCATGGCTTTTACCAAAGAATGGTTCTCTCTCTTCACACATTCAAGTTCATGGAGGAGTAAGAAGGGATGCTCAGACAGCTGGGTCAGTCAAAATAACCCCAGTGACCAACAAGGTGACAGATATCACAACCAGAATGCCTTTACATCCCTCATGTTTTTCCTCTGGTTTCCTCCATGCTGGTATTTCTACATAAGCATGACTGAACTTGGCTCCCTAATAAGAAATGGAAGACTTCTAAATCCATATGTACTCCTGAAATATTAATTTTCATTTATTCTTTATTTTTAGTGGCCCAGAATCAAGGTATAAGCTACTGGTAAACTGCCATTCTGAAAGTCAACTAGCTTCCCCAAAGTCAAGCACTCTTCAGGTGTTTTTTTTTTTTTTTTTTCTTCAGAAATGGAAGACTTCTAAATCCATATGTACTCCTGAAATATTAATTTTCATTTATTCTTTATTTTTAGTGGCCCAGAATCAAGGTATAAGCTACTGGTAAACTGCCATTCTGAAAGTCAACTAGCTTCCCCAAAGTCAAGCACTCTTCAGGTGTTTTTTTTTTTTTTTTTCTTCCTGAGACCTAAAATCAAGTATCACGTCCTCCAAGAAGCTTTCCTCAATACTCCCAAGCAGAATCAGCAGCCTTATCCCCTTTGCTTGCTCCTCTAATAGAGCACTTACATGGTCCATTGTAGCGATATCTATTTTCCCTCACTGATTTGAGCTCCCCGAAAGCAAAGACCCTATCATATTCAGTTTTGTCTGTAGCCTAATAGATCCTCAATAAATACTGGCTGAATAAAAAAACTAGCTTAATTAAGCCATAAGCAGAGGTGAACTTCTAAAAGCAACTTTTCAACTTCTAAATAAAAAATATCATTGTTTTGAAGAGTTTGATTTCTATTTTGTTGTCTTTTGGAGGGACTTGCTGTTTTTGCTTTTTGGACTTTTTTTCAAATGCATTAACTTTTTTTTTGATCCTGCTTGCATAATTTTCAGGGGTTTATATTTTAGGTGATTACAGGTATATAGTGCAGGCCCTTTTCAACCTGGAAAGTTCATGAGTTGAGCAGAGAGTCTTATAAATCCAAATGGAGATCAGAAACTAGATAAAAAGCTGAGAAAGCAAGGGTCAAGGAGGAAGAGCTTACATTAAGGAAAAATGTACACAAACCACTATAATCTCTAAATACGTATACTAGAAATGGTGCTGAACATTAGAAGTAAAGCTTCAACCAGACTATATTGTTAAAAAAAAATCACAAAACAAAGATAAATTGAGAATTTAAGTGAATTCCACAAACATTTATTGAATATGTACTCTGTGTTAGCCACTAAATAAACTGTGTAGCAAAACAGTAGAGATAAGAATAAGCATAAAAATTCTAACTAAATGTAATTCTTCATTTCAAAACAGAAAGATTAAAAATAATAGGTATATGACAAAACAATGAAAATCAGAATTGGTAGTTGTCAAACAGAAAAGAGTGACAAATCATAAACACCAACTAAGAAATACTTTGCAATATCTAAGCAATTACCTAGGAAATACTTTGATTTGTTCAAGGAAGGTTAAAGGTCAAACAACAGGTTCTGCCATTATTATTCTTAAAAAATGAATCTTAGTGTTTGATTCCCTGTTTCCAAAAAAAACTTATTTGCAGTTATAATTATGGTCTCTGAAGTAAATTTCTCCTATGGTTGATAGTAGTTACCACAGACTAAAGATTACAATAGGCTTCCAGTTCTAAGATAAAAAGGCCAAAAGTAAGTTCTGGACATCCAAGTCACGAGACGGGAATGACAGACCAGAGTTTGAGTTTTATAGATAGTATTAGGTGTCTCCAGTAAATGATATCAAAATAAACTTCTCAATGTAATTCTGAGATATATTGTGTAGGTTTGGATCTCACCAATGCTACTACCTGTGAACAAATGCTTACCTTTCTATGCCTCAATTTCTGTATCTAAAAAAGGGGGAATATAATACTTCTATTTCATAGTAACCCTGATATGAACTAATTCATGAAAAGTGCCTAGAACAGTATCTGGCACATATCAAGCCATCAAAAGTTAGTTGTTGCCACAGCCCCACAATTTATACATAACTGGAACACAAGAATTTGGTTTTTCTGTGGGGAGGATACAGTCAGGAGAGCTACCACTGCCGAGTCTAAAAGTTCTGCTATACAAGAGCCCAGATAGGATGAGGCGCTTATCTCTACACCAGACACTCACTCCCTTATTAGATGAATAGAGAGTTCCAAACCTACTAAACGCAGGGACCAGATCCTGGGCAACAATGTAGCTGTTCTACTCAATCCTCCTAATTTTGTTTCACAGAAGAGGAAACCAAGGCACTAAAAAGTTACTTATTTGCCCAAAGGCCACTTCTCTCTACCCCATCCTAGCCTTTGGAAGTGTAAGTGGTGTTACACTTTTCAACTCACTTTTCTGTTGAATTTAGTTTTATTAAATCTGTCTTCCAGGGTTTGATGAAATCTGGGGAAAATAGCATGAATTTCCCACATCAACAGAACTGACCAAGCAGGACCTAGCAAAGAGCTACTTCATAGAACCAGTTGACGTCCAGTTAAAGTGGCATTGACAGTCTCAGAGAAGAGCAGGTTAGGCCAATGGGAATTTCTTCTGTGTAAATTAGACAGCACAGACAGAGGATGTAAAAGGCGGGACTGAGAAAAACTGTTTTTAGGCAAAACCCAATGTTGGGAAGTGGCAGGATTTAAGTGATCAACAGTTTTTAAACTGGTAAGGAATTTGATGTCAAGAAGCCAGTGAACAAGGGAGGTGGCTTGGGCACACAGGCATAAGGGCCTATGACACAATGGTCACCATGGATATTTTCAAGATGAGGCATTAGTGGCAAATGAGTGAGGTTAGCAGCTATGGTGCTAGTTTATCAAGATAATCTTTTCATCAGTCAGTCAACAGTATTTACTGAGCTCTTATGTCTAAGGCAGAGTAGAAGAAGGTGACACACACTGATAAAATGCTAAATGTCATTTATTTTTCTACACGTTTCATTACCTTTTCTTTCCAACAGCCAAGTCAATAAATGAAGCAGTTACTGGCCTACACTAAAACCATTACTGAGTTAATGAATATGCCTTTGAGCAAGTGGAATAAGGTGGTGGAGAGAGAGGAGGAACCAGTTGAATGGGTTTAAGACAAGTCTGTGACATTAACAATGAAGCGTTTACATAGCACTTTTACTTTTTGTAAACCACTTTCGCATTTATTATTCCCTCAGTTATACCTCCAAAGGTTATAAGGTAAGCAGTTAATGTTTTAATTCAACTGATGAGTTAACTAAAGCCCAGAAAGCTTTATTGACTTGCCCAAGATTACACAACACGTGTCAGTTGCAGAGGCAGGAACTAAGAACCCAGCCTTCCTGCTTCCCCGCCTACTGAGTCCTTCCACTGAGCAACACTGCCAGGTGCAATCCAGAGGTTTGGACGTTGGGGACAAAGCACCGTGGTGAGAAGAGCACTGGTGCTTCACACCTGGGCCTGAACCTGTTGCCCGCGTGGCCTCAGTGGGAGGAGGGTGGGGGACTCGCCGCGGTTTGGGGCTGGGAGGTAATGGCAGGCTCCCCTCCTCTGTGGGAATCAGGTGGTTACTTACTCATATTGCCCGTTCCTCTGGGCTAGGGTCAGGGCACAGGGCTCCCGGAGAGCACCCTTCATCTCCATACCCTCGACAGTATGCGGGCGCTAGTCAAGGGTCTCCTTTAGAAGCGCGGCTGGGAAGGGTGGCGCGGAGCAGAGCGGCGGGAGTCTCCCGCCCCCTTGGCCGTCCCCCTTCGTCCCCCGGGCGTCGCCTCCCGCTCCAGCCCCCTTCCCTGCTCGGCTCGGTCTCTGGACTCAGTCCCCAGGCTCCGCCGTGTTCCACAGCCCGCCCCC